CTTTATTTAGGGAACTGAGGGAATTGAACACAAATAAAGCTCTGACAACAAGTTTCAACTTTATGATTTCCCGAACATCAGGACATCAAATTTTATAGAGGATAGATAGCGCGGAAACAAGCAACAGAAATAAACAGGGCACTATAATATATGTAAAGTATTGCTAACTCTATAGAACCAAAGGCTGTAAAAAAATTTTATTCAGGTTTAGAAGCGGTTTTGATTAAATGTCTCAATATTAATATTATAGAACTTCAGCTTTCTCTGTGAGACATTTAATTGTAGAACTTCTGGAAGTCCATATTTTTGAGTTATGCAATCAAAATGTGCTAATTGTTTCATTTCAACATTTGTTTAATGTCTACAGGGACTACAATAGAAAATCTACTAAAAACTTTAGTTCCCTGCTTGGTGTAGAATATTCAACTACACCTGCCGGTACACAAATTGATGTGGTATTTTCAAACATGGATCCTTTTCATGTTAATGCGATTACTTTTGAGACAGTACACAGCTATCATGACAGTATATGTGTCTCTATTTCGAACTAAAGTTTTCAGACTTATTGCAATAGTTCTTAATTTTTTTCAAATATCATCGAATTAGAATGGTATATCAATTTTGACAATAGTTTTTAAGACAATTTTAAGAAAAATATGTATATAATAATCTAAATAAGAAAATTCAAATTACAATATACATATGTATAATTTATTATAAATGTCTTATATATATTGTATAAATATATGATAGAAATTAAATAGTATTAGGAGAAAAGAAATATTATTTGGATATATGTATAAGAATCTCTGTTAAAATTTAAGTTTAATTATATACAAATTAATAATTACTAATATATATAAAGAAATCTCAAACGAGTATACCATTTGACTATTCGTGAGTATAAAATGTTCGGTTATATCCGAACTTAGCCCTTCCTTACTTGTTCTCTTTATGTTGGTAGATACGGATTAGTACATGGGATGCACATCGAAAACATGCGAGAGAAAATTAATTGTGACACCTGCAATCAGGCAAAACTATGCTCGTTGCCGTTCCCACAAAGAGCGGATCGAGTCACAAAGGCAGTGCTCGAGTTGGTACATACAGATGTCGGTGGGCCAATGAATGTGAAGTAAATCGCTGGAGATAGATACTTTGTACCATTTATTGATGATTATTCGCGCGAAATCTATGTTTACTTCATGCAAACTAAAAGTAACTGAAAACAAAATCAAGTCGCTACGAAGCGACAACGGAACGGAATATGTTAACAAGGAGTTCACATCATATGCGGGATTAAATGGCAGTTGACGGTTCCCTACAACCCGCAGCAGAACGGTGTAGTAGAACGCGCCAATCGTACCATTGTGGAAATGGCGAAGTGTCTGTTAATTTACACAGAGCTAAAATAGTTCCAGTGGGCAGAGGCTGTAAACACGGCATTCTATTTGCGGAACAGATGTCCCACAAAAGCACTGGCAGGAGGAACACGATTTGAGGCTTGGAAAGGCCATAAGCCGTCAGTTAAGCACATGCGAGTGTTTGGATCTCGATCGTTTGCTTTTCATAAATGCACAAAAGGCAAGTTCAAGGCAAAAGGCAAGGAATATATCTTCCTTGGCTATTCCTCTGAAATAAAAGCATATCGCTTATATGACAGAGAGAAGCGATCCATAATTGAAAGGCGAGACGTTCGATTTGTTGAAGGTGAGTTTTGTACAAAAACTATAAAAAACAGCGAACTTTTTGAACAAAATAACGATTTTTTTTCAAACATCATTCGCCTTGAGTCATGCAGTTATACTCCAGAAAACGAGCAGTGATGACGGGAACGGTACAAGCCTCAGCAGGACGATACCACACCCAGACGAGGACCAGCTACGCCCAGACTAGTACGTACAGGGCAACCAGGCCGACCAAAGAAGCAATGCCAGGTGCCCAATAGTCTGTACTATATGGATGACATTAAGACATTTCCAACAATCCGTTGCAGATGCATTGCAGGGCCAACATGCGCATGATTGGCAAAAGTCAATGAAAAATTAATTCGACGCTCTTCAAGCAAACGATACATGGATGTTATGTGAACTACCTCCAGGGCACCTCGGTTCAAAATGGGTATACCAAATCAAGAGAAGCAAAGACGGTGATATTGAAAGCTTCAAATCACGACTGGTTGCTGAAGGCTGTGGGCAACAGATTGGCCTAGATTATTGGGAAACATTCTCACCTGTTATCCGGTATGAGACGATTCGTATGATGTTTGCAATCGCTGCTGAAAAACAATTGTACGTGCACCTAGTCGACATTCCAAACGCATACTTGAACAGCAAGCTTCATGAAATTATGTACATGAAGCAGCCGCCGAATTTCGTTGACAAGCATCAACCGAACAAGGTTCTTAAGCTACAAAAGGCCATCTACGGGCTTTAATAATTAGGAAGAGTGTGGAATAACTTACTTGATGATGTCTTAAAGAATATGGGTTTAAGGAGATGAAAGAACGAGGCTTGCTTATACGTTAAGCAAGAACAACGGCAATTCAGCTACATACCAGCTTATGTCGATGACTTAATCATTTTGTGTCCGAGCGAAAATGACATAACCGAGATTAAGAAGAAGATTGCATCAAACTTTAAGATGCATGACGGCGGTCCGATCAACTATTTTCTTGCATGGGAACAACTGTCGTCTAGTAAGCACACCGTTAGACCCTGGGTACCAAGTGGGATGCAAGAGTGAAAGCTGTGTCGAGGTGAATATGAAAGCGTTTCAATTACTAATTAGTTCCCTTATGTATTTAGCAGTCCCGAGTCGGCCAGACCGTTTTGCACGCTGTGAGCAAATACACAGCGAAACACATTCTGAGGTATCTTGCGGGTACTATGAATCTGAGTATCATATACCGCAAGTCTGGCGAATCAGTCAAAGGCTTTTTTGACGCTCGTTGGGCCAACGAGAAGGACAGAAAATCCTACAGCGGCTACGCATTTGACATGACGGGAAGTGCGTTCTCTTGGTCATCAACGAAGCAAAGCGTTGTCGCGTTAAGTAGCACAGAAGCGGAGTACGTCGCGCTATTCATGGCTGCCAAAGAAGATATCTACTTGAGAAGACTTCTACATGAGATTGGGTGGTCTGAACAACCGGAACCGATGACCTTATTTAGCGACAACATAAGCGCACAAAACACATGGACAAAAAATATAATTTTATACGAGAAAAAGTAGAATCAAATGGCATTGTATTAGAGTATGTAACAACAAATGATACTTATAATTTGCCGATGTACTGACAAAATGTCTAAATAAACATAAGAAGAGAGGTTTTTAAAGTCTCTGGACATCATTTTAATTTTTGTTAGTATGGATTCTAGTAGCCTAAGAAGAAGTATTGTAAATGTAACAGGTGTTAACATTTAAAGTAAGCAAACACATAATCTGACAACACTGTATGCAGCACTAGTCAATGTTTTGCTATTGCATCATATTGTATTACTCTTTATCTTCAGTTCTCATTAAACGTTCGACCGAACCACTTTGTTGTCTTTCTTTATTGATATACACATACTTCTGCAACATGGACGTTTAATATATGGAGAAACTATTTACATCTATTTTTATAATGTTATGGTATATTAAAACAACTGACTTTTAAACTTTCAATATTTAATAAAGTGATTTAAGCTTGTTAGCTCTCAATTAATAAAATTTTTTTTTATAATTTTCAATTGATAATTAATACTATGATGCATCATGTTAAAAAAAATTTCATCAAATACATTTAAATTTCGCATTTTCTTTCATTTTCAGTGTTATACATTTTTTATTAGTGATATTGAAAGGTAGGAATTATATATATTTTTGGTAGAATTTCAATCTGGCCGTTCCAGTCATTCCATTTGTGAAACGTCAAAACCTACCCGAACCAGTCATCTCTGTAGGTATTAATGCGCACCGCGGATAAAAACTAAAATAAAAAAGGGAACAAAGGAAAAGAGCAACTGTTAAATAATATAGAAAATAATATTTGTATTACTGAAGACTTCTGCGTCATAGATTGCAGTGAATTTACGCTCGGCAGAAATTCGAAAACAACACGAAAATGCAATAACATACTAGATCTATACCCTTTCTTCTATATTGTTTTGTACGAGAAGAACGCTAATTAAAAACTTGTCTGAAACAAGCCCCTGTAACAAGTTTTGTGTCTTCCTCTCAAACTCTGTGTGATTATTTAAAAGCAAAACATAATATTGAGTTGAAATGAATATGAAAATTTAGAATTCTAATCTCCTTTCTATCCATAGAAAAAACTCTTTTTTAATTGTAAGTTTACTAATACTAACTTTATTGCTATTATTAAAAATACTACAATTTTCGTATTCATAAATGATATTTAAAATCAAGTGAATAAAGTCAAATAAAATTATAGAATTATTAGTCAGCCACTTATACTTATGATATTATATACTACATATAGTTAGAGCAAATTGACCCAACAATGACAATCTTAAGTATATGACAATTAGTTAAAAGCAGCTTAAGTCGACTTAAGTTAAGATACGTATTTTGATCGCTAGTAAAAAATCTTTACATTATTTTTACGTCTTAGTCCGGTAATCTAAGCTCTCAAAAATAGTTCATTTAAAGTGATTTTCAAGAAACTTATTTTTCACCAGAAATGAATTAAATTATTTGTTTATTCTTATTTTTTTTCGCTTCCGCCAATCAATAAAGAAACTAAATTATCAAATTTTTAGATCTTGACATTTCGAAAATTACTAAAGTTCATCGATTATATTTATATAAATAATATATATTTGCTAATTTATAAACATATGTAACATATACATACATATATGAAAAATATTTGAAAAAGCATATAAAATGTATGTAATGCCCCCAACATTAAAAGAATCTTTATTCGTTTCTTTTTCCTGAAATGCTAACAAACTTTTGATATTGAGAAAACAAATATTGTATTAAATACTAAAATATTTTAATGAATTTCGTATATTTTTTCCACAATTTACGATTTTCGGTAACATTTTATTTACTTGTAAATACAGCTTGGCTGCGGAGAAAATTATTACTTTTGTGAACTTGAAATTTTAGATGACTGCAATTTAAAATTAATACTAATGTATATTAAAAAAAATAACATATTCCTGAATATCTTTTAAGGAGTTAAACATAGAAATTTAATTACAGTTTATTTCACCTTAAAAAAGGTGTCCCAAATATTTTACATATATCACCATATTACTCCTCCTTATTACACTTTGTTTCTTTAACAGCTGGATTCGCTGCTAACTTTAATACATGATTTGAAAACGAGTCCACTGTAAGAGTTTTACATGTTAATTCTATTATTTGTGATTTTCCCCGAGCATAAAATCGCCTAGTAGATTGAGGCGGTACTTTTGTTATCGTTGTAGCATCCGAGCTATTTATCCAAATTTCCTCGTCATTTTTTGCAGTTATTACAATATAATCGCCAGTGTTAATTGCGTTTTCTAATTCATCAAAAGCTATGCTAGGTGTTTGCAGTCGTCGCAGAACTCGATGTGACGGATTTGTGTGTGATACACTACAACCAATAAATATAACTTCTGTTGCCTTATATTCCTTCTCGCTTATATTTTTTTTATATTGAAATAATAACAGCACACTGTTTTGACCGATTTCTAGACTAGGATAATAAATAGAACCTAAGTTTTGACCCAACTTCATATTAAAGTCATAGTTCATTAAAACATCACCACTACGATGGTCCCATATCGTTAGTTGTGTATCTCCGAAGCCAAGTAGTTTATCATCTATGCATATATAAACATATATTTTAAATAAAGTACGTGGTAAGAAAAAAAACAACTATACCTGTGGTACATTCTAGATAACGAACACAATATTTAATATCCTTGAAGTCACGTATGCTTGCCAAGGTATCGAGATTTGGTGTTAATGAATATTTGCAGAGACCCGATCGTGGTTTGCCCAATATATTTTGCTGTGGCCAAGACATAATAAAGTATCGGGAATCAGTTATTGTGGTGTACACGACATCGGCAGGCAAACTGTAAACATAGTTTAAATTATGAACATGAAATATTTTTGATAAAATGAATAGAATAAAAATTGTACCCCTGTACGGCATCAAGTTGAATTGAGTGTGTTTTAGCGACCATATCTTCTTCATTGAAATAGTATATATTAATGTACATTGAAAGAAGGCTGCAATCACGTCTCTCATGCGGTATCTCTCGGCAACGCATTTCAACGTAAATGGGTATAGAGTTGTGTATGCAAATCCGATTTGTGTATGATGTTGAAATCTCCATATCTTTATGAATAAAAAGAACCCCATATATCATTATCATAGAAATACTATTTATACATGTGCAAATGTGTATACACTAATACTTAAGAATATATATGATATCCCTGCAAGAATAGAGAGCTGAAAAATTTTTACCAACAAAGTATATGTCATGGCAGTGTGCCAAAACTTATATAAACAATTGCATTTGTTCTCCTTAATAGTTCTCCATGGGCCTAATTCCTGGATATTTCGTTATGTGAAACTAATTTAACATACATACATATGTATGTTTAACACCCCATCTTTATTGTCCGGTAACATACTGCTGCAGAGTATAATAGTTTTGTTCGCCTAACGATTATTTGTATCACCTAAAACTAATTGATATAGATATAGGGTTACATATATATAAATGATTAGGATGAGTTGAAATCCAGGAAAAGCTAAAAGCCCATATCTCACAAACTACTAGACCAATTTCACCCAAATCGGTACGTAGCATTATAATCAAACCACAACCATACCCACTTTCCATATAACACAATTTAAAATTTAATCGGATTCTTTCCCTTTACTGTACACAAATCAAGAACCAAAAAGCATATAGAAATTAAAATTTGCTTTTAAGATATGCTTACACAAATCAAGAACCAAAAAGCATATAGAAATTAAAATTTGCTTTTAAGATATGCTATCTTATGACGAAAAATTGGTCAAATCGGACCACAACTTTTTGAGCTGCTAGATAAATGCCAAATATGTGGACCCTAGGGCCTATCGGTCAAACTTTGCGATATATTATTGAAATTCGGGGATACTTTTTTTATGATAGCCGTATGTCCTTGTGAGTGAATACTGTTCCCATATAACTAAAATAAGAATTTTCAAACCTCCGGTTGAATTTACATCTTATATATTGTAACGGATTTCTCGATAAATCGTCTACCTATAACTCACTCTTGAGTTCGATCACTGGATTGTTAAATAAAAGTCCCAATATAATGGCTATACACTTATCTTTATTTTTAATTCCAACAACTTAACACTTATTGCTCGTTATTCGAGCTTACAACTTTTTGCGTATGTCTCAATTGCTCTTAACATGACAACACTTTAACTAGAACTGTCCGTGCAGCCCAATCTGGCAGCCCTTATATAGTACATTTTTAATAAAACTTCGCCTCTAGAACATTCTGGCAACTACGAATTCGCTGTCTAGTTACTTCTGGCAATTTATCGTCGGTTCGATTTTGTTCTATCATCCATGTTCGTCACAATATTTATTAATATACTTGTAGGTATCTTAATGAAACTCAGAGATCATCTTTATCTGTTGATGATATGTCGTAATACCAAAAGTGGATAAAATTGGGTCAATACTACCATTAGCGATCTTATACCTAATATAAGAATTTTAAATTTCTGGGTGACTTTATATCGTATACGAGTAAGCGGTCAATATGTACGATATTTCGGTTTACGTATCACCCCAGCTGTCCATATGCCGAATATGTCAGTCAGTGTGAGAGTTAAATATTTTTAAAATTGCATGAAAATGTATTCGTGAGTATACCTGCGTGAAGAGGTCCGAACAAGGACACGCCGCGATTCTCTCCTCCTTCACCTGCATTCCTGAAAATTTGGATCACTGCGGTGAGTTTTTTCACGGATGGGTCGAAGCTAGGAGGGAAAGTTGGAGGGGGGGTTTTCTGTAAAGAGCTCTCCGTCAATCTTTGCTTCAGGCTACCGGACGACTGTAGCGTTTTTCAGGCGGAAGTGGCCGCGATCAAGGTGGCGGTAGAAGTACTGTTACGTAGTGTAGCTTCGTTTAGAGAGGTGAGCATTCACTCCGACAGCAGAGCGGCAATACAAGCCCTGAGTGCGCGAACCGCGCATTCAAAGCTAGTCAAGGAGTGTCTGTCCTCGCTAGAATTAGCATCAGGCTACTTCAATTTCAGGCTCGTTTGGGTGCCTGGTCACAGCGGAATCGCTGGGAATTGCAAGGCCGATGAGCTGGCCAGGGGGGGTACCCTTGCCCCGCTCACATCGGAATGGGATCGAGTTGGTTCTCCACTAACGTCTTGCATTCTCGCTCTGGACCAATGGACCTCGCAGGAGCTCAGCAGACGTTGGTCGTCGACCAGCTCCTGCGCGATCCTTCTGGCCGAGAGTGGATCGCAGGAGGTCGGGGGATCTTCTCGCCTTGAACAAAGTTCACCTCGCCGCCATGGTAGGAGTTCTCACTGGGCACTGTCCAATGGGAACTCATGCGGTGCGGCTTAGAATACTACCCGATGGCAGTTGTCAAAGCTGTATGGAGGAGGGTGAAGTGGAAACATCCCGGCACTTTCTCCTCCATTGTCCGGCTTTTGCTAGGTTGAGATTGAAACATCTCGAAACAGATATTGGCCATCTCAACAAGTTTGTCATAGGCACAAAGCGCTTTGTCGACATGTAAGGGTCTATTGATCCGGCTCATAGGAGTTTTGGGTACCACAACGGACCGGCGTTTAAGCTGTCCAAGTGTGATCCTCCTTAGGATCGACCCGCTAACCTAACCTAACCTAACCTATACCTGCGCAATGCCAAAAGTTAATGCAATCAGTCCAAACCTCTACCCCCATTTTACCCTAATAGTGACTTTCCACCTGACTGAAATTAAATTATGTGTTTTAGCGCTTAAATATGAATGAAATTGGTCTAAATCTTGGTCTAAGCCTCATATCTAATATATTGAATTCCCATTCTCTGGTTGACGTTTTCCACATTAACTTAATACATTAAATTTAGCCAGTTCGGTTGAGCCTTATTTGATATAATATACTTGTAATTATCAAATAAAATTACTAAATAAAAAAGTGTTCCATACAAGGACTTGAGTTTAATCGGTCAGCTGGTATGGCAGCTATATGCTATAGTCATCCGATATCGGTGGTTCCGACCTATTAGCAGCTCCTTGGTTAGAAAAAGACAAGCAAAAAATTTCGCACAGACGACAATGCCTAAATCGACTCACTACTTCAGCACTGGTCACCCTGCCGTGGCGAAGGGTTTTATGCTAAGTAATAGTAATGCGCGCAATCCAAATGGAAGCGCACATTCCTGTTACGAACTAAGAGGGATACCTCATAATTCCAACAAGAGGAAATGGATGAATAAACCTTTTTTCTCATCTCCTATTGTGGAAGTGGGAGGACAACCGCACCAACACCACCCTAAGCCAAGGTGTCGATGTGCTGATGACTAAATGGTAAGTGGGGTGTAATCGAATAACTGATCACGAACGGCCCCCTCCGATGCCCGGGCGAGGTCGGACGTACTTAAAGCCTTCTCGTAGGAAGAAATGAGCTTAAATAACAAAAACAACAACTACAAACACCTTGACGATCAGCGACAAGGACAAAGACATCGACAACAGAATATAGGACCTATAACGGATTCCGACGAATACACCCTCCTTGCCTCCACCCAGAAACCGATTCAGAGTGCTCCGGGATGTACCAATTATAGTAAGCCGGTGGAGACAGCAGCACACACAGCAGGTACCAAACAAAATACCCCAAACACAACCAACAAACCATCCACCTAAAAGGAGACATGAGCACCAACCAAAGTACACTGACTACTAAAAGAGCAAAGAAAAAAAAAGGAATTCTTGAATCAAGTGAGAAAAAGCCGGTACCAGAGGGCAGTCTTTATACTAGGTCAGATTGCCAAGGATCCAGCTGCAGGCACCTCAGTTGATGAAGAGAAAATTAAGAGCCGAAAGAATAAAGTGGAGGAATATGAAAGTTTCCTGAAAAGGAAACAAACAGAACCTCCCATCGAAACCAGTAGGTAGGTAAGTTGCCAAAAATGGAATGGCTCTCAAAATGAAGCGACGGTAACTCTGCCTAAACCCAAACAAGAGCAGAACAACACAACAACAAGGCATTTCAGTGATGTGGTCAGAGACAACCTGCAGGTGGCTTTCATTGACGGGAACTCCTCCTCACCGAGCACCATACAGGAGAGATCGACGCCATATTGTCGAGTCTAGTGTGAAGCTATGTGCTCGACAATCCAGCGGGCCCCCATCCTGAGTTTGACTCTTCGGAAACCATTAGGGGCTACAGCGTCATCAAGTGCGAAGAGCGGCTAAAACTAGCGACGGCTATGAAAGCCTCACACTGAGGCTTATACTCGCTAAGGATATCCCAGGGAGGTTTCGGGCTCGCATTTGACTGCCCCCTCTAGAGGAGGAAAAGCTTCTGCGGTGCGTCAAGCTGCAGAACAAGGCTATAGTTGGTATAGACGTCTGGCAGCTGTCGATAGGGGCTCTATCGAAAGCTGACAACAAAACCAGCTTCGGTATCCGCAAGACCAGGCTGAAAATCTTCCAAGTCGACAAAGCGGCTAACGAAAACGACACGGAAGAGGTCGAAGACGCCAGACAGCTGCTAATGTTGAAATAAGAGAGCAGCAAATTGCCCCAGAAGCTTAGATGTGTGCAGATTAATCTACAGCACTCGAAAAGTTCTACAGCGAATCTGGCAATCCTCTTATATGAGAGGGGCATCGATATCAGCTATGCATGATCAAAGGGCCAAATAGCAATAGCAATAGTAGTTCCAACATGTTTTACAAACAAAACGGAGGTAAACCAAGGGCTTACATTATCATCAAAAAATATATAAACACATTTCTTTGAGTCGAATGTCGAATCGTCTGTCTGTTCCGCCAGCTCCATCCCCCTACGATAGTTCGTAGTGCGCGTTAAGTCGCCAAGTACCAAACGGGGGGCAGGGGGGATATTTACATTGAATATTTCGAGGTCGATATCGCCTGACTGGATAGCTATACCTTAACATTCAAGGGTAGTATCCTCGCGGTCGATGTCGCTATCGATAAGAGGATATATTGCACGGTGTTGTATAGTATAATAGATAGGCCTCCAAAATTATCTAGCTTGCGATCCTTACGTATAACGTTGAAACCTGCACGACTCAGAAGATTAGAGCGGCTGTTTATCTTGGTTTCTT